ACGCATAACCTACGATATATTTTATCTATTACTTCTTTATTTTATAACTATCTTTTTATCTAGAATATAAGGAACTTTTTAAATCAGTTTTCCTTATTCTTGTGTTTCTGAAACATTAAACAATGCCTGATTAACTGCAGCTACTCTCTCTATTTTTTAATAAATCAATAGCTTAATGAATTTAACAAATCTTTTCAGGAATATCATGTGTCTCAATTCATATTATGCTGCAATAATAAAATATCTCAGTTTGGAAAATTTAGCATAAGTGAGTCCACAGGCATGGTGGTGTACACCTGTAATCCCAGTACTCTAGAGGCTAAAGCAGGAAAGTTGCTGCAAGTTCAAGACCAGCCTGGGCTTCATAGTGATACTCCATCTCAAGAAACATCTTTAAAGATAAACAAATAAAAACAGAAATGATTTGCTATGGTCCTGGAGGTTGAGAAGCCTGAGCTCTCAGGCTTGGTATCGTAGGGGCCTTGTCTCTGTTTCCAAGATGGTGCCTTGAATGCTGCATCTTTCAGAAGACAGCATGATGCTTTCCCTAACACAGCAAAAGAATAGAAAGTGGAGAACACATTCCCCAAAGCCTTCTGACTGTGGGGCTGATGCACTCAGGATGGTCCTCCCTTTGTGACCCATACAACTTCCAGCAAGCCCTGCATCGCAGTACTGTTGCACTGGTGGCTGAGATTCCAACACTTGAATTTTGAAGGAAACATTCAAAGCACAACATCATGGATCTAGAACTCTTACCAATAGTTGCTTCATAAAAAAACCTGCTTTTATTAATTTTTGTCCCTATGTCTCATAGACTTTGCAAAGTAAGAGTCAAGGATATCATGTGAAACCCTCAGTACTTTCTGCAAAGTTATATCCCTGAGCAGCCATCAGTGACACGTGGAATTTACTATAACTACAGTGTTGGACCCATCGTACATGGAGTACTCAAAGTCAAACACTGCATTTGATAAGTTCCCCTAATGAGTATGACACAATGAAGTCTGAGATCCATTGATGGACCTTCTAAGTTCACTAACTTAATGCATTGTTACTATTAGAAACTACAAGATTTCCTTGGATAAAATAAGTTGAAAAATAGTCTTGCCTTGATAAATGTGGAGAGAGCCTTCTTCTCAGTGATTCATAAGCCTGCCTTTCCTTCCATACCTGTGGTCACTGTCCTAGGCCTTGTTCTAGTATCTTAAACCTATTATCACACTACCCTTCTAACTAGTCTTTGTGTGTTGCCTAATCTTCTACCAAATCTCCAAGTACTAATACAGTTTTTGGATATAGGGATGTCTTCATATATTTTTGTTCTTGAAACAGAGATGAATTAATTAATGGAAGTCGAATATGCATCTTGTACTTGAAAAGTAAATATAAGGGTATTATTTTCATTTTTGCAAAAATATCATTTTTAAACCAAAGGTTTATTTTAGAATAGAGGAAATAAGATATTGTCCTACAGGGCTGCTTCATCATACATTCAGTTGCCCTCCCCATGCCCTCCTACAGCCCAATTTTTCTCCTGTTACAAGCATATCTAAATGGAGAAAACACACAATCAGCTGGCTAATTCTAAGGAAGACTTCAGTTATAAAATGATTCATTACATAAGCTTGAACCAAGAGTGGTCACATGCTCAGAGCTAATATTCTTCATTAAAAAAAAAAGTTCACAGGTGCTTACTTTTAACTTCAGCTGAAATTTTTGCTTATGCACAGCAGATTTTTACCAGCATCACCAGTGGCTCTGTCTGAGCCCATTTCGGGATTCATGAATCACAGCTCCCAGAGCACAGCGGAATGCACTAAGGAGAATCCATGCAGAGTGAACCGTCTCTGGTGTTACAGCTCTTTGCCCCTCCTACCTCTCCATCTTTTAATATTTATTATCGTTCCTTGCTTTGCTGCTGAGAAGGGCACCGGATTTTTCCTACAAGCCAAGTTCTTTACGAGCACTCTAAATTTGGATGCAACATGCAGAAGCTGGGTCACTGTTCTACCATTTCTGGAATTCATCAGGAGGCCTCCTCTGAGTCAGAGCACACAAGCACATCATGCTGGTTGTTCTCCATCTTTTTCTTTCCTTCAAAACTTTGGCTTTTCCCTTGGTTCTGTTGACCTTCTGTGAGATTCCAGTTAATTGGCCTAAGCTGCCACAAACACTGGTAACCACAGAATAACAATGAAGTAAACAAGCCTTCCCAAGGGTCTCAATGGTAGCAAGAAAAGTTTCCAAGTTAAGTCAGATGAACTTTATTTCTGACTCTCTGTGCTAGTGATATGCCAGAACCATCAATAAAATTTGACCCATCTCCCTGGGTAGCTGCGAATGTCTCTTCAGGGCTGAGAAGCATCTATGAGGTACCAGAACACAGTCTGTTCTCCTTGAGTAGGGGACTGAGGAAAATCTACCTGCAGTCCCATCCCATCTCTATATCTGAACAACCTTAGCCAGCTGATAGTAGCCCTGATTCCAACTGCCATACATGTCTCCCCTTTAGATTTTATTTTTCCATTGAGTTTTCTATATGTCAACTGAAATAATAAAGTTAGCCTACATTCTTAGAAAACAAAGGGAGATATACTCACACAGAGAGCAATGCCATTATATTGGGGAGTTTGGCAAGGAACCGTCCTTCTTGTAGACTTTGTTAGGGGGAGGAAAGAGCACTGCCTGTCTTTGGGGCCAGCAGAAATATAACTCACAGAATAAATGAATTTGTTGTCAAGTGAAGTGTCTTTTCATAGAATTTTACTACATTTCACGTTGAATACAATGCTGGCATCCTTTATGCCTAAATTTAGACCACTGAAAGGATTCATTAAAATCCAATTAGATTAAAACATAAAAATGACAAAACAATTGTGCAAGCTGTGCTTTTGCAATTATAAGACCATTTAAAACTACTGTAGTTAAAATAGCTGAAGAATTAATTTGATCTTACATATATTCTTTTTAATTGCTGTACATGGTACTGAAGTAACAGCAGGCAATAGAAAATACTATCTCAATGAATGTAACCATTATAAACAATGCAACCATTATAAACTAAAGCAATACAAAACTAACTTCATGAAAATTACTTATTTTTATTCCAATATTTTCAACATTGATATTCAGTTGCCACAATTCTTAACAAACAAAATGCACATGACAGCATGTTATAAAATGGGGATTTTCACATATATGTATTTTAAAAAGACATGTTTATAGACACTCAAAATATCAATGAGTTAAAAAATAAATATAAAACATGACTTCTGTCTTTTAACAACTTGCGTTTTTGTTAGGAAAGACACAAACAGCTATCTGCAAAATAGGACAAAATGTGGGAAGTTTTTTAATCAGTATGCAACTAGTGTGGAAGTAATAACTATAATTCCTGAAGCAGTATGAAAACGTTATTCTAGCTGAGAAGAAATCTAGAAATGCTTCTTGAGGGAGGTGACATTTGAACAAGGTCTTGAATGTGGAGGAGAACTTGACATTCTGAAGTGGCAAAGGGTATCCTAAGAGGAAAGCCACTTGAGTGACAAGTGAATGATTTGAGGCTATCAAACACTTTGGTGGGATGCTGTGTGGAGCTGTGACTAATGCCAGGAACAAAATGTAAGAGGCTTTCCATGAGAAGCTAAAAAGATTTTCTATGCAGTGGATCCTCTTAGAGCTCTCCAGAAAGGTTTGTAAAGACCTGTTTTAGAAGGATAACATCAAAGATAGACAATGTGAAGAAGAGCAAGACTAGATTAGGGAATTGGGAGGCTGTGTTACTCCACACGTGAGGTGGACAGGATTTGATTCAAGGCACAGAAGGTTGAACTTAATCTGGAAGACATCTATGATGTCAAATAGCCAATTGGTTATAGGTGGGGAATGAACTAATTTTGTGCCACAGCATACTTCAAAACAAATATTTCCAGAATATGTGATATTACCAGAATGATTCTGGTGCAAATTTTTAAGGGGCATATTTTCTAGGCCATTCTATTGCTTAGCATATTTTGGAAAAAAGTGACAAAATAAAGTCATATGAAAGTGTTGAGGGAAGTTGCAAGACAAATGCCACATGCTACAAAAGTGGAAAAAGCTAAGAGAGAGTAGTATTAACATGCGAATGATGTCTCAGAAATAGGAGCAGAGGAAGCCAGAAAAGAGAAGAGCAGGAGTTCGAGTGATGAATGTAAGGAAGTGCAGATGCAGTGAGTTGTACTGTTACCAACAGATGGAAATCCTCTGTGGTTTGTATTTAGATGTCCTCCCAAAGCCACATGAGATCCCAGAGGCAGGATTTGGGGGTGAGTGGTTCATGGGAGCATGATACTCATAAGTGGACTAGCAGTTCAATGTGACTCTGGGAGGCAGTCAGTAGAGAAGGTCATGGAGGCATGGCCCAGAAGATTCTACCTCCCTCCTGCCTCCCTCATCATCTCTCTCTGCTGCCTGTCTGTTATGCTGCCCTATCTTGAAGCCAACCAACTATGGACTGAAATGTTACAAACCGTGTACCAAAACAGACCTTTCCTCCTTTAAACTGTGGGTGTCAAGTACTGTGTCTCAGCAACAAGAGAACATATCTAAGGAAAAAGAAATCAGCATGTCAAAGAGACGTCTCCAGTTCTGTGTTTGTTACAGCTCTATGAACAGTAGTCAAGACATGGAAACAACCTGAGTGTCCATCAATTGAGGAGTAGGTTCTTTTAAATATAGAAAATATATGCAGGAGAATACTACTTAGCCTTTAAAAACCTGAATCTAGGGTCCAAGTTGTACAGAACTCTAAAGCAGTAACAGTTATAGTACACAACTGCCTAGAGTTCAGTGGATTTTAATAGTTTAGCAAGATTTCTGCATAGTGACTAAGGCTTGTTGAGAACTTGGCCATTTTTTTTATAAATCAATGGGACACAAAATGTCACTTCTGCTTTTGCAACATTAAAGCCAGGCAAAAACAGTTAAATCATGTGGGATGCAAACGTAATACTCACCAGAATAATTCTGCGGACAGATACAAGTGTACCTGCCTATGTCATTGAGGCACGTAGCCTCATTCCTGCAGGGGTCCGAAACACACTCATCTACTTCCAAGTCACAGTGCCTCCCTTGATATCCTGGGACACAGAAGCAGAAATAGCCATTGACTCCATCCTGACACACTGCCCCGTTGTGGCAAGGACTGGATGCACACTCGTTGTGATCTATCTCACAGAATCTTCCACCATATCCAGCAGGGCATATGCAGACCGGCTGAACAGGACCATGATGACAAGCACCGCCATGTTGGCACGAGTCCGCGCCGCAGGAGCCGATGGCACTTTCACAAGTGATACCACTATACCCAGGAGGATAGTGGCACTGAAAGCCCCTTTCTCCTGGGGTGTTCACACAAGTGGCCACTCCTTGGCAAGGACTGGAGGAGCAGGCATTGTTCATGCTGTCACAGGCTTTGTCCAAATTATTGGCTATGTCTGAACAACGGCATTTGCTGTCTTGCAAAAAGCCCTTGCACGTGGAATTATTTTGGCAAGAATTTGAAAGGCACCAGGTGTTGTTTTTATTGCAAAAAGATTCTGCAAAGAAATAAAAAAGAAAAATCAAGATTAAACTTAAAAATGTTTGAGAGCAAAATTACAGAATTTCTTTCTTTTTGATCCTGTGCCACTTCAAACTCATTAATGAAAGACCTACTTTCTGCAATACAGTCATGAGTTTTAATTTTTCTTTTGTCAAAAATTTTTGTATAGGGGCCAGGGAGATGGCTCAGAAGAATAAGTGCTTCCTGGCAAGTGCAAGGGTCTGAGTTCAATCCCTGGTTCCACCAAAAAAAAAAAAAAAAAAAAAAAAAAAAAAAAAAAATTATATAGTTGCTAATGAGAAATAAGAGTGGCCAGGGTGAGATTCTTTCTTCTCTTTGTGCTCCATTTTTCAAGCCTAAATGGTGTTGAATGGCCAGGGGAAATTGAAAGAATTCTTAATACTTCTCATTTACCCAGAATTTTGAAATTCACATTCTTCATGGAAGATTTTAGAAAATACTAGGAAGTGAATTACAAAATGTTTCTGAATAAGTCGCCTAACGGAAACTGGTGTTTAAATAAATACTATGACTTTTTTGTCTTAATACCTACTATGTGCTCTAAAAACAAAAGCATAGAAGAATAAGACAATGATAGAATTTGATTATGTACTAAAGACCTACTCTTTTTTACTAAATATTCTAGGTATTTCACATACAATATTTCTTATCCTCACAACAGCATAAAATTATGTACATTTTAAAGTTCAAGACAGATTAAATCCCACTACAACAATATTGTTTTATCATAAAGACTGCAAATTTTAATTTTCCAAAAAATCATTTCTGTTCTAGAAAAATATTTTTGAAGTTAGAATTGGAATAATAAGTTATAGGAAAGCAATAATTTTATGGTTCTCAGACATTTGGTACAAGCAAGTATTTCATGTGATTATGGAAGTCTCAAAATGCAGAGCTGACTGGCAGGAGACCTAGGAGACCCAATGGTACAGTCCTAGAAGAGCTGAGAAGTCTCAAGATGTGGAGCTGACTGGCAGGAAACCTAGAAGAGCCAGTGCAGTGCTGGTTGTGCAAGCCAAGAAGGACCTGATGTTTTAGTGCGAGTCAGAAAGGAGGACAAACTGCCCTTTGGCAGGTATTTCAAAAAAAGCTAGATATTTTAAACAGATATTTTTAAAAATTGGAACAAAATACTCCATACATGGGCCGGCCTGATAGCTCAGCAGATTGAAGTGCCTACAAGCCAGCGCTGGGCCAGGGGTTTGACACCGAGGTCTGCCGCGCCTGTACTCCCAGCTTTGGGAGGCTGTAAACAGGCAGATCACTACGAGTCCAGTGTAGTAGTGAGACCCTGAACACCCTGTAGACCCTTCCCTAAAAAAATACAGAAAAAAAAGACAAAATATTCCATATATTTTATCATCACATTTAAAAACCACAATACTAAAAAAAAATAGGCGGAAGTATGTTGCCTTGAGAATATTTGGCATTATGGGAATTTGTACTATGTGATTTGTAAAAATTATTCAAATACATTCAAGAATGTAATAATTTACAGTTATAAAATAAAAGGTTACCACTCTGCCTTGGAGCTGAAACCTCCAGTAACTGTGAGCTAAGTGAACCTTTCCGTCCTTCATTTTGGGTGTCGGGTATTTGTCCCAGCAATGAGAGAAGAGTAATCAAGACACACTGACGCTAGAAGATATTAGAACAATGCCTTGGAAATCCCAAGGAACTTGTGTACAAATCAGAATCATATGCCTACGCTACCCACCAAATCCAAAGAGAAAAAAGTATTTAAACATGCACAGACTCAAAATTTTAGCATTTATGCCCTGTTTCTGGAAGATTCTTCAGGATAAAGTCTGTAAAAATAAAGGTTAACCCATGAAAGAAGGAGACACAGAATCTGGAAGACTAGGAACTAATAAAAGAAGGCAGATATTACTGAATAGACGGCGGGATCCCTGATACACTACCAGCATAGAGGTTAAGCTAATACTGAAAGCATCAAGAAAAAGTAGAGCTCCAGAAAGATGTTTCTGAGAGAGAGAGAGAGAGAGAGAGAGAGAGAGAGAGAGAGAGAGAGAGAGATCAACTTACAAAGCAATCTTACAGGTAAAATTGTAATTGTACTGGAAAATAACAAATTAGTACTATCTAGACATATGTAGAATGAAATGAATCAATTTCAACTGATGCGAACAGTGACCTAAAATAATGACAATTAATAATAATATATACCTTACATTGAGAGTGGTGGAATTGTTTTTATGTGTGTGTGTGTGTGTGTGTGTGTGTGTGTGTGTGTGTGTTCCAGACCTGCAAAACTATGGTAAAAAATAGTTAAGTTCAATTTTAATACATTGTGCCAGTATCTTAAGCTGAAGGCAAAATGTACTCATTATTTGAAAATATGAATGAAAATGAGAAGAAATCACTAGCAGAGTTTCTTTCAAGTAGTTGTTTCTGGGTAGTACACACACTAGGATGAGGAGCGACGGTGGCACGCTGCTTCTTTATAATCTTTAGGATCTTCTGTGTGTTACTGAATGAAGTTCATAAAAATATTTTTAAGGCAAAGCAGGTAGATTTATAATCTACTCGCACAGGTTCCAAGAAAGATCGCTTTGTTCCTGTGTCTTCTTTGGACTGCTTTAGCATGGGTTCTGGACAGGATTAGCTGTCAGCCACAGCTTCTTACTCTATCATGGGTGTGTCCACAGGGCAGGGGCTAAAGACCCTGTGGAGCTGCTGTCCACCACGTGGGCATTGCTAACTCGTGCCATAGCTGCCTGCACTAAAGAGTCACTAAAGAGGAGTGTGCAGAGAGTTTCCTGCTACCCTGCGCCGGCGGGACCAGTCCCAGCCCAGGCGCAGCGTGGGCCGGACCCTCTCCCAGCCCCTCGGGCCGCCCCCCACCACTCC